GTGTGGTAGAGGATCATGAGATTCGTTCAAGAAAAGCCAAACGCGTAGTAATTTTTACTGATAACCACCAGAATACTGATGCTTATACCAATACCCAAGAAACTAATAATACTGATCAAACAGCCGAAATTGCTTTAATACGTTATTCACAACAACCGGACTTTCGTCGAGACATAATCAAAGGCTCTATGCGCGCTCAAAGGCGTAAAACAGTTACTTGGAAACTTTTTCAAGCAAATGTGCATTCCCCTCTTTTTTTGGACCGAATAGACAAATCTTTTTTTTTTTTTGATATTTCAGCGCGTATGAAAATAATTTTTAGAAATTGGATGCGGAAAAACACAGAATTTTCGGATTATACAGAGAAAAAAACAAAAGAAAGCGAGGACAAAAAAGAAGAAGACAAAAGAAAGGAGAAAGCGCGTATAGAAATAGCAGAAGCCTGGGATAGTATTTTACTTGCTCAAGTACTAAGAGGTTTTTTGTTAGTAACCCAATCAATTCTTAGAAAATATATTATATTACCTTCATTGATAATAGCTAAAAATATAGTCCGTATACTATTATTTCAATTTCCTGAATGGTCTGAGGATTTAAAGGATTGGAATAGAGAAATGCATATTAAATGTACCTATAATGGCGTTCAATTATCAGAAAAAGAATTTCCAAAAAACTGGTTAACAGACGGTATTCAGATCAAGATCCTATTTCCTTTTAGTCTTAAACCTTGGCACAGATCTAAACTACAAGCCCCTTATAATGATCCAATGAAAAAAAAGGATCAAAAAAACGATTTTTGCTTTTTAACAGTTTTTGGAATGGAAACGGAACTACCTTTTGGTTCTCCCAGAAAAAAACTTTCATTTTTTGAACCCATTTTTAAAGAACTAAAAAAAAAATTTAAAAAATTGAAAAAGAAATGTTTTATAATTCTAAGAATTTTAAAAGAACAAAAAAAATTGTTTCTAAATGTCTCAAAAGAAACAAAAAAATGGATCATTAAAAGCATTCTGTTTATAAAAGAAATAATAAAAGAACTCTCAAAAATAAACCCAATTATATTATTTGGATTTGGATTGAGAGAAATAGAAGTATATGAATTGAGTGAAACTAAAAAAGATTCGATAATTGGTAATCGGATGATTCATGAATCGTCGATTCAAATTATATCTCAGGGTTGGACAAATTATTCATTAACAGAAAAAAAAATTCAAGATCTAACTGATAGAACAAATACAATCATAAATCAAATAGAAAAAATTACAAAAGAAAATAAAAAAGGAATTCCAGATATAAATTTTAGTTCTAACAAAATAAGTTATGATGATAAAGGATCAGAATCACAAAAAAATATTTGGCGGATATTAAAAAGACAAAATGTTAGATTAATCCGTAAGTCACATTATTTTATAAAATATTTCATTGAAAGGATATACATAGATATCTTTCTATGTATCATTAATATTCCTAGCATCAATACACAACTTTTTCTTGAATCAACAAAAAAAATTATTTATAAATACATTAACGATAATGAAGCAAATCACGAAAGAATTGATAAAACAAATCAAAGTGTAATTCCCTTTATTTCGACTATAAAAAAGTCATTTACTAATATTAGTAATAAGAATTCAAAGACTTTTTGCAACTTATCTTACTTTTCACAAGCATATGTATTTTACAAATTATCACAAACTCAACCTATTAACTTATATAAGTTAAAATCTGTATTTCAATATAACGGAATGTCTCTTTTTCTTAAGAATGAAATAAAGGATTTTTTTGTTGTAACACAAGAACTATTTCATTCCGAATTAAGACATAAGAATCTTCGCAATTATGGAATGAATCAATGGACAAATTGGTTAAGGAGTCAGTATCAATGTGATGTATCTCATATTAAATGGTCTAGATTAGTACCACAAAAATGGCGAAATATATTCAATCAACACTGTATGGCTCAAAATAAAGATTTATGTGATTTATATGAAAAGGATCGATTAATTAACTACGAAAAAAATTTCGAAACAGATTCATTACTGAATCAAAAAGATAATTTTAAAAAACAATATAGATATGATATTTTAGCATATAAATCTATTAATTATGAAGATAAGAAGGACTCTTATATTTATGGATCACCATTACAAGTAAAAAATAAACAAGATATTTTTTATAATTACAACACACATACACAAAAATCATTTAATATGCCGGAAGGTATTCCTATTATCCCTTATCTAGTAGAAGATGATATTAGAGATATGGAGATAAATCCGGATAGAAAATATTTTGATTGGAGAATTTTCCATTTTTGTCTTAAAAATAAGGTCGATATTGACGCCTGGATCGATATTGATACTGACACTAACAGTAATAAATATACTAAGACTAGGGTTAATAAGTATCAAATAATTGATAAAATCAATAAGAGGGGTCTTTTTTATCTCACGATTCAGCAAGATCAAGAAATCAATCTATACAATCAAATAACCCTTTTTGATTGGATGGGGATGAATGAAGAAATACTAAGTTGTCCCATATCAAATATGGAATTTTGGTTCTTCCCAGAATTGGGGATACTTTATAATACGTATAAAATTAAACCGTGGGTTATACCAATTAAATTACTAGTTTTAAATTCTAATATAAATGAAAATTATAGTAAAAACAAAAGCATCACCGGAAATAAAAAAAGGGATCCTTTTATATCAATATCGGAGAATTCAAAAAAATCTTTTGAATTAGAAAACCGAAATCAAGGGGAAAAAGAATACGCGGTCCAAGCAGATTTTAAATCAGCTCTTTCAAACCAAGAAAAAGATGTTGAAGAAGATTATACGGGATCGTACATGAAAAAAAATAGAAATAAAAAGCAATACAAGATCAATACAAAAGCGGAGTTTGATTTCTTCCTAAAAAGGTATTTGCATTTTCAATTGAGATGGGATGATTCTTTAAATAAAAAAATAAGCAATAACATCAAAGTATATTGTCTCCTGCTTAGACTGATAAATCCAAGAGAAATTACTATATCCTCTATTCAAAGAGGCGAAATGAGTCCGGATATTCTGATGATTCAGAAAGATTTAACTCTTACAGAATTGATTAAAAGGGGAATTTTGATTATTGAACCAATCCGTCTATCTATAAAAAATGATGGAAAATTTATTATGTATCAAACCATCGGTATTTCATTAGTTCATAAAAGCAAACACCAAATTAATCAAAGATACCGAGAAAAAAAACATGCTGATAAGAATTCTGATGAAGCCATTACAAAACATCAAAGGATGACTGGAAATAGAGATAAAAATCATTATGATTTGTTTGTTCCTGAAAATATTTTATCACCTAGACGTCGTAGAGAATTGAGAATTCTAATTTGTTTCAATTCTGAGAATAGACATATAAATGCAGCATTTTGTAATGGGAATAAGGTAAACAGTCAAGTTTTGGATAAAAGCAAAAACTATAAAAAAAAACTTATTAAATTTAAGTTATTTATTTGGCCCAATTATCGATTAGAAGATTTGGCTTGTATGAATCGTTATTGGTTTAATACCAATAATGGCAGTCGTTTCAGTATGGTAAGGGTACATATGTATCCGCGATTGACAATGCATTAATAGTACATTTTTGCTATATTTCCCATACTATATCTGATCTATGACGACAAAGAGATGCACACATGCATTGTCTTACATTCCATCGTTCCATTCTGATACACGATACTAATTCAATGACATATCAATTTGATCTAGAAATGAATCAACAAAATATTATTATTTTAGGTCTAAATTTTTATCTTTTGTGAGTGCAGAAAACAACCATCCTTTATGTATACCCTTTCAAATCCAAATAAAATTTACAAATTAAAAATTTAATTTTATTAAAAAAAATTCGAAATTAATAACAAAATTAATATTTTTGTATATACAAAATAAAAATGAGAGGCATTATTATTACTGATCAATAAAGATATCTATCAATAAAAATTTCTTAAAATAAAAAGAGGGGGGCGAGAAGATTTCATTTTATGGTAAAAAATTCATTCATCTCAGCTATTTCACAAGAAGAAAAAGACGAAAACAGAGGATCTGCTGAATTTCAAATAGTTAGTTTCACCAATAGGATACGAAGACTTACTTCACATTTAGAATTACACAAAAAAGACTATTTATCTCAGAGAGGTTTACGTAAAATTCTGGGAAAACGCCAACGACTGCTGTCTTATTTGTCAAAGAAAAATAGAATATGTTATAAAGAATTAATTAATCGGTTGGATATTCGGGAGTCAAAAACCCGTTAATTTGAAGAGGCATTTTGAATTATTTGATTTATTAGATCGTGAATTTTAATGAACTTTTTTTCGTTTTCAGCAATTCATGAAAGAATGAATCGAGGAAAAACCGATGAATATACCAGCTACAAGAAAAGACCTCATGATAGTCAACATGGGCCCCCACCACCCATCAATGCATGGTGTTCTTAGACTCATCATTACTCTAGATGGTGAAGATGTTATTGATTGTGAACCAATATTGGGTTATTTACACCGAGGGATGGAAAAAATTGCGGAAAACCGAACAATTATACAATATTTGCCTTATGTAACACGTTGGGATTATTTAGCTACTATGTTCACAGAAGCAATAACTGTAAATGGACCGGAACAGTTGGGAAATATTCAAGTACCTAAAAGAGCTAGCTATATCAGAATAATTATGTTGGAGTTGAGTCGTATAGCTTCTCATCTGTTATGGCTTGGTCCTTTTATGGCGGATATTGGTGCACAAACTCCCTTTTTCTATATTTTCAGAGAAAGAGAATTAGTATATGATCTATTCGAAGCTGCCACCGGTATGAGAATGATGCATAATTATTTTCGTATCGGAGGAGTAGCGGCCGATCTACCTCATGGTTGGATAGATAAGTGTTTGGATTTCTGCGATTATTTTTTAACAAGAGTTGCTGAATATCAAAAACTTATTACACGAAATCCTATTTTTTTAGAACGAGTCGAGGGAGTAGGCATTATTGGTAGAGAGGAAGTAATAAATTGGGGTTTATCGGGACCAATGCTGCGAGCTTCCGGAATACAATGGGATCTTCGTAAAGTTGATCGTTATGAATGTTACGACGAATTTGATTGGGAGGTACAGTGGCAAAAAGAAGGAGATTCATTGGCTCGTTATCTAGTCCGAATTGGTGAAATGATAGAATCTATAAAAATCATTCAACAGGCTCTGGAAGGAATTCCAGGGGGACCCTATGAGAATTTAGAAATACGATACTTTGATAGAGAAAGGAATCCGGAATGGAATGATTTTGAATATCGATTTATTAGTAAAAAGCCTTCTCCTACATTTGAATTGCCGAAACAAGAACTTTATGTGAGAGTCGAAGCCCCAAAGGGAGAGCTGGGAATTTTTCTGATAGGGGATCAGAGTGGTTTTCCTTGGAGATGGAAAATCCGCCCCCCGGGTTTTATCAATTTGCAAATTCTTCCTCAGTTAGTTAAAAGAATGAAATTGGCTGATATTATGACGATACTAGGTAGTATAGATATCATTATGGGAGAAGTTGATCGTTGAAATGATAATTGATACACCAGAAGTACAAGATATTGATTCTTTTTCTAGATTAGAGTTTTTAAAAGAGGTTTATGGAATTATATGGGTGCTTATTCCTATTTTGACTCTTGTATTGGGAATCACAATAGGTGTACTGGTAATTGTATGGTTAGAAAGAGAAATATCCGCAGGGATACAACAACGTATTGGACCTGAATACGCCGGCCCTTTGGGAATTCTTCAAGCTCTAGCAGATGGAGCAAAACTGGTTTTCAAAGAAAATCTTCTTCCATCTAGGGGGGATACCCGTTTATTCAGTATCGGGCCATCCATAGCAGTCATATCAATTTTAGTAAGCTATTCAGTAGCTCCTTTTGGCTATCACCTTGTTTTAGCGGATCTCAATATCGGTGTTTTTTTATGGATTGCCATTTCTAGTATTGCTCCAATTGGACTTCTTATGTCAGGGTACGGGTCAAATAATAAATATTCCTTTTTAGGTGGTCTACGAGCTGCTGCTCAATCGATTAGTTATGAAATACCATTAACTTTATGTGTGTTATCAATATCTCTACGTGCGATTCGTTGATACATAGACATAAACTTTTCTTTATTCCTTCCTTTCAAAGAAAGGGTTGGAATGAATTAAGTATATGTAGATATCTTCATTTTTTTTATTCATTATTCGGGTTGATGAACTAAATCAAATAGTTATATGAGTGAAAGAAAACAGCTTATATATAAATTCGCAGTAAAAAGATTGAGTCTCATTTTCTATGTATAAGAGTTAGAGAGTTAAGCGGAAATAAACATAAGCAGAAGCGACCGTTTCCCCCAAGATCGGTTGATTAGTCATCCTGACTTGAAGCGGGCTCAAAAGATCAACCATATTGAGTTTTCACTATCATTTGTATGTATTACCACAGGGGGGGGTTGAACAAAAACGAGTGGGTGGTTAGAAACACCAAGATATGTAAAGGATTAGTAATTGAGATTATGTAAATTCTCCAAAAGGACATTTTTACATAATATACAAACAAAGAATACTCATTGGGGCTTTAAGTTGGTAGAAATGATCAGGCAATACTCCCCACGACACGATTCCAATCCAGAGTATGCTCCTATCCACCGATTAAATAAATAACTATTGGGAACGAAATAATCCTTTACTTTATTTTGTAAGCCCCCTTTTTCTCAGAAATAGAAAGAAGAATAGGAACGAAAAAAAGAGAAAGAAATCCAATTCCAATAAAAAAATAAAAAAGATACCTTTTTTATTTCCCAGATACATATTAATAGATATAGAATTTGTGTCATAATTCATGAATTAATTATAGAATTTTTTTCGTACGTGAAATAAACGGGTTATTGATATTTCTACAATAAGTATTTTATTGAAGAATTAAGTTATTACTCAACAAAGAAGAATTAAAATTCTTATTGAAATTATTAAAGTTAAAGAAAGGGTGAGATCGATTCAGAAGTACTTTTTTATTTATTATTAAATAATTATAACAGACAGAATTCAATTGGTCTAATTTAGGACCGTCCAATAGATTTTTACTTTATCCATCCTACAAACGTACCAAGATAAAATAATACTGACGCGATCCTTAGATTTATTTCTGGCCTTTAAGGAGCCGTATGAGGTGAAAATCTCATGTACGGTTCTGTAATAGCGATGGTAACAGTAATGGTATCACCGACTATAATTATCTAACAGTTCAAGTACAATTGATATAGTTGAGGCGCAATCAAAATACGGTTTTTGGGGATGGAATTTGTGGCGTCAGCCTATAGGGTTTATCATTTTTATCATTTCTTCCCTAGCAGAATGTGAGAGATTACCTTTTGATTTACCCGAAGCAGAAGAAGAATTAGTAGCAGGTTATCAAACCGAATACTCGGGTATAAAATTTGGTTTATTTTATGTTGCTTCCTATCTAAACCTATTAGTTTCTTCATTATTTGTAACAGTTCTTTACTTGGGAGGTTGGAATATCTCTATTCCGGACATATATGTTTCTGAGCTTTTTGAAATAAATAAAACATGTGGAGTTTTTGGAGCGACAATCGGTATCTTTATTACATTAGCTAAAACTTATTTGTTCTTGTTCATTCCTATCACAACAAGATGGACTTTACCAAGGCTAAGAATGGACCAACTATTGAATCTTGGATGGAAATTTCTTTTACCTATTTCTCTCGGTAATCTATTATTAACAACTTCTTCCCAACTCTTTTCACTGTAAGGTAAATTTACAACTTGTCTCAAACAAGAGAAATAAACAAACATAAAATTATTCATAATATATATTAATGATATGTTCTCTATGGTAACTGGGTTCATGAATTATGGTCAACAAACAGTACGAGCTGCAAGGTACATTGGTCAAAGTTTCATGATTACTTTATCTCACGCAAATCGTTTACCTGTAACTATTCAATATCCTTATGAAAAATTAATCACCGCGGAGCGTTTCCGCGGTCGAATCCATTTTGAATTTGATAAATGTATTGCTTGTGAAGTATGTGTTCGTGTATGTCCTATAGATCTACCCGTTGTTGATTGGAAATTGGAAACTGATATTCGCAAGAAACGGTTGCTTAATTACAGTATTGATTTCGGAGTCTGTATATTTTGTGGTAATTGCGTTGAGTATTGTCCAACAAATTGTTTATCAATGACTGAAGAATATGAACTTTCTACTTATGATCGTCACGAATTGAATTATAATCAAATTGCTTTGGGTCGTTTACCAATGTCAGTAATTGACGATTATACAATTCGAACAATTTTTAATTCGCCTCAAAAAAAAAAAAGTAAATCTCTTGATTAAAGAATAATTTATAATTACTTTACTAAGACTATTACTTTACTAATAAATAATACTAAGGTTCATTTTTTTTGATCTAATCTAAAGGAATCGGGTTTCTTTCGTTTTGTTTGGTCAATAACTACAAATCCCAACTGTTGATTAGTTGGTTAAGAATCACGTCTTAATTTGGATTGAAAATACATTAATTAATATATCTGTAATTATTTTGACATATATAGTTTCAAATGAGAACTACTCCTTCAGATAACGAATTAAATTAGTCCAACAATTGTACTTACATTTATTCATATCCCTTAGGATTTAATTAGGAATTGCTCAAAAATTAGAATTTTTTTCTGTTCGGATTTCAATAAGGTCATGAAAAACATTTCGATTTATTTATCTCTTATTTTACATATAATGGATTTGCCCGGACCAATACATGATTTTCTTTTAGTCTTTCTGGGATCGGTTCTTATACTAGGAGGTATGGGAGTGGTATTATTTACCAACCCCATTTATTCTGCCTTTTCATTGGGACTGGTTCTTGTTTGTATATCCTTATTCTATATTCTATTAAACTCCTATTTTGTAGCTGCTGCACAACTCCTTATTTACGTGGGAGCTATAAATGTTTTAATCGTATTTGCTGTGATGTTTATGAATGGTTCAGAATATTACAAAGATTTGAATCTTTGGACCGTTGGGGATGGGGTTACTTTGCCAGTTTGTACAAGTATTTTTGTTTTACTCATGATTACTATTACAGATACGTCATGGTACGGGATTATTTGGACTACAAGATCAAACCAGATTATAGAACAAGATTTGATAAGTAATAGTCAACAAATTGGAATTCATTTATCAACGGATTTTTTTCTTCCGTTTGAATTCGTTTCGATAATTCTTTTAGCCGCTTTGATAGGTGCAATTGCCGTGGCGCGACAGTAATAAATCTATAGAATTGGCAACAGCAATCCAAATTAAACTGTTTTATTACATTTATTTCCCTTCAATTAAAGGTTCTTTATGTCTAAAATATAAATTATTTTATTCAATCTATTCTATTACCAATAGAATATATTCCTTTTACCAATAGAATATATTCCTTTGTTCCGTACTTTTTTTTATTCTAGTCAATTGAATCTGTTTAATTGTTGTTCAGTTCATATTGAAATGAATCGAAATTGATAAGGAGTTGGTCAATGATGCTCGAGCATGTACTTGTTTTGAGTGCCTACTTATTTTCTATCGGTATCTATGGATTGATCACGAGTCGAAATATGGTTAGAGCCCTTATGTGTCTTGAACTTATACTGAATGCGGTTAATATAAATTTCGTAACATTTTCTGATTTTTTTGATAGTCGCCAATTAAAAGGAAATATTTTCTCAATTTTTGTTATAGCTATTGCAGCCGCTGAAGCAGCTATTGGTCCGGCTATTGTTTCGTCAATTTATCGTAACAGAAAATCAACTCGTATCAATCAATCAAATTTGTTGAATAAGTAGTATTAATAATCATATAAATTCTAATATTCATAAATTATAATTACCATGACCATACATTACGTATAATACATGTTTTCGAAAATGTAAAAAATCAATGTAAGAAATCAAAGTATCTTGGTTCTATCGCACGGGTCGATCCAGAAGTAGATTGATTATAAAAATTCTGATAAATTATTGATTCATCTGGTGTCTAAATATATGATTCATTTACAAGTTTACTAGATCGAAAATTTCTGACATTTAAAAATTTATAGATCCAATGTCACATTCAGTAAAGATTTATGATACGTGTATAGGGTGCACTCAATGTGTGCGAGCCTGCCCAACAGATGTATTAGAAATGATACCTTGGGACGGATGTAAGGCTAAGCAAATTGCTTCCGCTCCAAGAACAGAGGACTGTGTCGGTTGTAAGAGATGTGAATCCGCCTGTCCAACGGATTTCTTGAGTGTTCGAGTTTATTTATGGCATGAAACAACTCGAAGTATGGGTCTAGCTTATTAATACGTTCCAGAAAACCCTACTTGAAATACATTTTTTTACCTTTACCGACAAAAACCCGCGCTCAAAAAATATTTATTTTGAGCACGGGTTTTTCTGGTCCAAGTTTATCTTGTTTTTACCATGAATTATTTTCCTTGGTTAACACTAGTTGTAGTTTTGCCAATATTCGCGGGTTCCTTAATTTTCTTTCTCCCTCATAGAGGAAATAAGGTAATCCGTTGGTATACTATATGTATATGTTTAACAGAACTACTTCTAACAACCTATGCATTCGGTTATCGTTTCCAATTGGATGATCCATTAATGCAACTGACAGAGGATTATAAATGGATCAATTTTTTTGATTTTTACTGGAGATTGGGAATAGATGGAATTTCTATAGGACCTATTTTACTGACAGGATTTATCACAACTTTAGCTACTTTAGCGACTCGGCCGGTTACTCGAGATTCCCGACTATTCCATTTCCTGATGTTAGCAATGTATAGCGGTCAAATAGGACCATTTTCTTCTCGAGACCTTTTACTTTTTTTCATCATGTGGGAGTTAGAATTAATTCCAGTTTATTTACTTCTATCCATGTGGGGGGGAAAGAAACGTTTGTATTCAGCTACAAAATTTATTTTGTACACTGCAGGAAGTTCTGTTTTTTTATTAATAGGAGTTCTGGGTATTGGTTTATACGGCTCCAATGAACCGACATTAAATTTTGAAACATCAGCTAATCAATCGTACCCTGTAGCACTGGAAATAATATTCTATATTGGATTTCTTATTGCTTTTGCTGTCAAATCACCGATCATACCCTTGCATACATGGTTACCAGACACTCATGGAGAGGCGCATTACAGTACTTGTATGCTTTTAGCCGGAATCTTATTAAAAATGGGAGCATATGGATTGGTTCGGATCAATATGGAATTATTACCCCACGCTCATTCGATATTTTCTCCCTGGTTGATGATAGTAGGCACAATTCAAATAATCTATGCAGCTTCAACATCTCCAGGTCAGCGTAATTTAAAAAAAAGAATAGCCTATTCTTCTGTATCTCATATGGGTTTCATAATTATAGGAATTGGTTCTATAAGCGATACAGGACTCAACGGAGCCATTTTACAAATAATCTCTCACGGATTTATTGGCGCTGCGCTTTTTTTCTTGGCCGGAACGAGTTATGATAGAATACGTCTTGTTTATCTCGACGAAATGGGCGGAATGGCTATCGCAATTCCAAAAATATTCACGACTTTCAGTATCTTATCAATGGCTTCTCTTGCATTACCGGGCATGAGCGGTTTTGTTGCCGAATTGATAATTTTTTTTGGAATACTTACTAGCCAAAAATATCTTTTAATGACAAAAATATTAATTACTTTTGTAATGGCAATTGGAATGATATTAACTCCTATTTATTCATTATCTATGTTACGCCAGATGTTCTATGGATACAAGCTTTTTAATGCCCCAAACTCTTATTTTTTTGATTCTGGACCGCGAGAATTATTTGTTTCGATCTCGATCCTTTTACCTGTAATAGGTATTGGTGTTTATCCCGATTTCGTTTTCTCATTATCAGTTGACAAGGTCGAAGCTATTATATCCAATTATTTTTATAGATAGTTTTCATGAGTAAACCAAAGGATTAAACGGAAATCCCATGATTTTAAAAATCGTTCATTGTACAATAAAAAATAAGTCCTTTTTTTCTTTTAAGTTAAATTTGAAGTTAAATAAAAAAATTGGAATTATATTATAACCGGAAATGTCTAGCATTTCTGAGAACCATTTGAATCATTCCATTTCCATTACTTGATTCAAATGGTTCTTAATGGTTTACATGAAGTTTTCGTATATATACACGTATGCCATCCTATGTTTCTATTCGTCAAGTCAGTCAAGTCCTTTATTTAATTATTCAATTAGATGTAAATGAACCATAACTATGCAACCCTATTCCTAATAGATTAACCCCAAAATAGCATATCCAAATTATAAGAAAGCCCATTGAGGCCACAATTGCAGAATTTATACTTTCAAAAATTTTATTTGTTCTAATATGTAAATAAATCGCGAATACGGTCCAAGTAATAAACGCCCAAGTCTCCTTTGGATCCCAATTCCAATATGATCCCCATGCTTCATTAGCCCATACTGCTCCCGAAAGAATACCTACGGTTAAAAAGATAAACCCTAGACTAATAATACGATAACTCCACCGATCCAATTGTTGAATCAATTGATACCTGTAATAATTTTGAGACGAAATAGAAGTGTTTCGTAAGACATTGTTCCTTTCGTTCACGTGTTGAATCTCACCAAAGTAAAATGACTCATTTACTAATACTAAATTATTGCCTTTACTAAAAATCCTTCTGAATTTTCGAAATGTAATGACTAGAAGAGCTAATGATAATAATGATCCACACAAAAGAGCTGCATAGCTCAATACCATCATACTTACATGCATCATTAACCAATGGGATTGGAGCGCGGGTACTAATATTTCGGATTGATGCATTTCAGTTAAAAGACCCGAAGTAGCAAAACCTTGAGTAAAAATAGCACTTGGCGCGGTTATTGCGCTTAAATGCTTTTTATATTTTTTAAAATACGGAATCATATGAATAATGGAAAAACTCCACGAAAGAAAAATTAATGATTCATATAAATCGCTTAATGGTAAATGCCCCAAATACACCCAACGAGTAACTAATAATCCTGTTATGCAGAAAAAAGTAACTATCATACCCTTTTCTGACGAATCATATAGCCCTACTATTTCATCGACTAATAAAATTATCAAATGAATTGTAATTACAATTGAAACGATAGAAAAGGATATATGAGTTAATATATGCTCTAAAGTTGAAAATATCATAAAAATTATTATTATTAAAAGGGGGTCCCGCAATTATAGGAATTGAAATCGGGAATTGAATTCATTATAGGGCTTACTCTTTTAGAAGATGCCATGCCGCCACTCGGACTCGAACCGAGATGCTCTAGCACTGCTTCCTAAGAGCAGCGTGTCTACCTATTTCACCATAGCGGCTTATTCGAAATCATAATAACCTATTTTTATTCAATCGTCGAGATTGAAGGAGTTAATTAAATGCAATATTTTTTTAGGAAACCATTAAATTGATGAATAAAAACTTGTTTAAGAATTAGGGATTTAAACGTTTTCGTTAATAATATTTATTATCTTTTTATTTATTATTTTAGAATGTCAATTTTATTTAACTGAACTAAAAGTGTAGTTTTTCGTAAGTTATTAATTTATGTTTTCCTAAAACAAAAATGTTACGGTTGGAACTAGATTATTTTGACTTCAATCCATAGATAGAACTAAAAACAATGTTCTGTCTCGTTTGCATTTTTTAATGATTCATTTATTTTATCATTTATTAATCTAAAATAAAAAAAGAATTTTATCGATAAAATATAATTTTTATATAACACAATTTCAGCGATACACTCAAGGGGTTTTTGTAAATATTTGCATAGTTAGTTTTATATGAATTTTTAGTGTTTTTCGTTGTGTAGAGAATTTGTGTTAAGATTTAGCAACCCAATTAAGTTAGGTATTAGTATGGGTGTATCAATTATATAACAATATTTTATATTTCTATCGAAATTGTACCGTACTTCAAAAAATACTTTATAAATTTTTAAATTAATATATATTATATCTTTGATATATATTATATTTTGATCGATCTTCCAATCGAACCATAGGATCTAAAACAGATCACTCAAAATTGGCACATTCGTCATATAACTACCTAAAAATGTAAAAGGGGATTTTATTAATTAAATTGGGTTAAAGAGTTTATATAGTGATAATAATTTAGAAAAATAATGATTTAGAAGATCTATAAAACATATTTCAAACTTAATAATTATCTTCAATTGAAAATTTTGTTGATATATAATTTTATATATTAATAATAATTATAATAGTAATATATAATTATAATATTAATAATAATTATAATAAAAAATAAATTTATTTTTATTATTGAGTCAAGTCGATGGGGAAATTGAGAATCCCCATCCTGAAAATTATAAAACATACTAAAACGAAAGGTGAACCCTTGTGCTTGCATTTATCCTCTCTCCAAACAAAAAAGTACCATTAATTTTTCGAATTAAGTAGACAACAGAATTCTTATCTATATCAGAAATGAAAGAAATCTTATCTATATCAGAAATGAAAGAAAAAAGACACCTTCTAAATTAAAACATTATGAAACTAATTATTTTTATTTATTATTTTATATAAATATAAATTTATATTATTTTACTATTATGATGTTAATTAAAATTCTTATAACTTATAAATCTTATAAAAAAATTAGAAACAAAATTAGATTACTTTTATAATTAGACCGATTCAGATTTTTTATTGTATTGTTTGATTACTATTATTTATTTGTTACACAAAAAAAACTTTTAGAACTCCCGGTAGAAAGAGATTTCGCTAACGAAAAAGCTTTCAATGCTGCCCGATATCCCTTCCTTTTCCAAATATTTTTACGAATCCGTTTTTTTGAAATAGAGGTGCGTTTTTTTGGAACTGCCATTAAAAAATTATAATAGGTTCTTCGGTTGGATGTGAAAGACATCTATTGTTCAAAATAAATTTTTCTTTACTGTTGTTCTCTATCTATTTATTCTCTAAATTATACTCCCTTCATAAAAAAGGGGGGTGTGTAAAAATCGCATAAAATATTACTAACAACAATCCCCTATGCCAAATAGAATAGAATTGATTGAAGTTTATAAAATACAATACAAACAAAAAAGAAAAGATTGTGCGTTTAGTTTTCTTTCTATTTTCGTCGTGTTACATTTATACATGTAATAAAATACATCAAAAGTTTAATAACCCAATCCCTCTATCGCTTAATTAAAAAACTTAAATAATTTTCTATTATATTAATTTTAATTAATTTAATTGGTCAAACTCGAAGAAAAAGTACACCCAACTTTAATTATCAAATTCGAGTGGGACTAGTAGTTAATCTGTTAAAAGATACAAAATATATAATTTTTTATTATTTATTATTAAAGGCATTTTATTTGCCCTTTTTTTTTTTTTTACATAAAATAAAGTGTTGGATATCATAGCATTTCCTACAAATAGCTTTTATTGTAATGGAAGACAATCAATTAGTTACAAAACAAATTGTTTAATGATTCTGAATAACCGAATTACAATTACAATAAATAGTTTTTATGGGTCAAGTTATGCGCTTTATGATTCATACCAAACACTGTTTTTGGTGTAATTATTTATCCTCGCTCTATAGATATAAAAGATATAAATAAATTATTTTAATACGTAATAATTAGAATGCAAATTTTATTTAAGTTTTATTTTATATATCTTAATTTTTTTTTATTAACTGACCCCTTTCAACAGAAAACAAATAAGAACCGGTGAATCAGAAACAATTAATTAAGAAAAATATTTTATTTTTTTTTTATGGAATATACATATCAATATTCATGGATTATACCTTTCATTCCACTTCCAGTTCCAATGTTAATTGGAGCAGGACTTCTACTTTTTCCAACGGCAACAAAAAATCTTCGCCGTATGTGGGCTTTTCCGAGTGTTTTATTGTTAAGTATAGTTATGATTTTTTCAGCCCATTTTTCTATTCAGGAAATAAATAACAATTCCGTATATCAATATGTATGGTCTTGGACCATCAATAATGATTTTTATTTAGAATTTGGCTGCTTGGTTGATCCACTTACTTCTATTATGTCAATATTAATCACTACTGTTGGAATGATGGTTCTTATTTATAGTGATAATTATATGTCTCATGATCAGGGATATTTGAGATTTTTTGCTTATATGAGTTTTTCCAATACTTCAATGTTGGGATTAGTTACTAGTTCTAATTTGATACAAATTTATATTTTTTGGGAATTGGTTGGAATGTGTTCTTATCTATTAATAGGTTTTTGGTTCACACGACCTAGTGCGGCGAATGCTTGTCAAAAAGCGTTTGTAACTAATCGTGTCGGGGATTTTGGTTTATTATTAGGAATTTTGGGTTTTTATTGGATAACGGGTAGTTTTGAATTTCGGGATTTGTTTGAGATATTTAATAACTTGGTTTATAATAATGAGGTTAATTTTTTATTTGTTACCTTATGCGCCTTCCTATTATTTGCCGGCGCAGTTGCAAAATCCGCCCAATTTCCCCTTCATGTATGGTTACCTGATGCCATGGAAGGGCCTACCCCCATTTCGGCTCTTATACATGCCGCTACTATGGTAGCAGCAGGAATTTTTCTTGTAGCTCGGCTTCTTCCTCTTTTCATAGTTATACCTTACATAATAAATGTAATAGCTTTGACAGGTATAATAACATTACTTTTAGGAGCCACTTTAGCTCTTGCTCAAAAAGATATTAAGAAAAGCTTAGCTTATTCTACAATGTCTCAATTGGGTTATATGATGTTAGCTCTAGGTATGGGGTCTTATCGAGTTGCTTTATTTCATTTGATTACTCATGCCTATTCGAAAGCATTGTTGTTCTTAGGATCTGGATCAATTATTCATTCGATGGAAACTATTGTTGGATATTCTCCAGATAAAAGTCAGAATATGGTTCTTATGGGCGGTTTAAGAAAACATGTACCAATTACAAAAACCGCTTTTTTATTAGGTACACTTTCTCTTTGTGGTATTCCACCTCTTGCTTGTTTTTGGTCCAAAGATGAAATTCTTAATGATAGTTGGTTGTATTCACCGATTTTTGCAATAATAGCTTGTTCCACGGCAGGATTAACTGCATTTTATATGTTTCGTATCTATTTACTTACTTTTGAAGGACATTTAAATATTTATTTTCAAAATTACAGCGGCAAAAAAAATAGCTCGTTCTATTCAATGTCTCTCTGGGGTAAAGAAGGAAAAAAAATTATTAAAACAAGCTTTCGTTTATTAGATTTTTTAACTACGAAAAAAAATGAAAAAACTTATTTTTTAAACACGTATCGGATTGATAGTAATGAAAATGTAAGAAGTATGGTACATCCGTTTATTAGTATTGCTCGTTT